ACAGTATTTTATGTACTTCTTTACACACCACTAATATGTATGTGATTTTTTAAGATAGAAAAGAGATGAGGAATCACAATTAAGCACACAATAGAGATCTAATAGTTTATACAGTTATAATCTACAGAATGTAATTAAATCTATTACTTTATTGTTACTTTATTGCATATAAAATGCATCAGTGACACAGCATCTGAATAACTAAAGGTTTTTATGTCTGTTTTATGCTGATGTTATAGTGTGATAACAGTGATCAGGAAAGCTAAAGTGATCTTTTGTCAATCAGCTCAGGGTTAAAATTGTGCAGCAAATGGAAGCAAACTCCCAGGGTGACTTTTCTTGTAGGACTGGCATATTTGGCTCTGAATTATTTGATTTATTGAAAGGTGAAACAGTCCTTTCCCAGGGAGCAAAACGCCAAACAAGGGCGGTGTGCACTGTGGCCCTAGTGTTCAGCTACATAGACAGTTTGACTTTCCTGGAATTAATCCTCATTAATCCCTGATATCTACATTATACACCAGTTAGCTAAGGAAGTCAAATTCCTTGTAGATATTTCTCAGTACGGCACAGCTCATGATGGTTCAGTTAGTGTTCAATGCGAAGGCTAATAGCACAGTGTAAATGTATTTTTTTTTTCTCAGACACTTTTCTCAGTAATTCAACAGTACATCTGGGGAAAATGTTGATATTCCCAATGGATTTGTCTCATTTCCACTGTCTTTCCTTTGCCTTTACACTGTTACACAAACTAGTGCTAGCTACCTTAGTAAAATTGTTAATTAGTCATTCAAAAACTTATTTATCCTCAGAGTCCATATTTCCCAGATGCCTAGCAACAGTGTTCTTATGACCAGAACCACTTGAGTTCACCATGTTGAGAGCATTAATTCACAAGTACTATTTGTACACATTTTAATTCATCCAATAAACCTAATTCTGATTCTGATGTGACATCTGTCCTGTTTTACATCTCCAGTGTGATCTCACTGGAATTTGCATCAGATCCACAACAGGATCATTTTCATATCTGCAGTGTATTAAATGCAGCATTCCTCACACCTTTTGACTTTATTACTTACTCTATTGATGCCATGAGAGTGGATGGACCAGCAGATAGTGTTGGTACCCGTGCCTCATGGGTTTTCTCCTGGTTCTCTGGTTTCCTGCCACCCCCCAAAACACACTGGTATGTAGATTGGCTACTCTAAATTGCCCCTCGGTGTAAATGACTGTGTGTGTTCATGTAATACGTATTGCAACACTTTTATGTATTATTAAAGCTGAATTCATCGTTATTTTGTTTTAAACAGTTATAGCATCGTTATGTGTTTGGCAGACTAACTATAAATACACTAAGGAATCGTAAAGATTTGGCAGATTAATATAAATGTTATAGAGTTGATATATACCTGACTGACTAATGATGACATTGAGTAAAACACTATAAGCATGGTGGGTGATGATTCTCTGCCAGAGTCTTAATTGCATTGTGTATGCGTGCAAAGAGCAGACAGCTTATTGTCTCATGCGGAAAAATCAGTATCATCTGAACGTAACCGCAGGATAGCACTGAACTGTAATTCACCCACCCAATGCAAGTGAGACAGAGGAAGAGAGATAGCTATGCCATAAGCTGAGAGAACATGTCAGGGCATGCATCATCAATGTCACCTGGCCTCGCTGTCAAAACACACAAATAACTGAGATTTATGCACTGCATGTTGATAGTGTCACTGAGCAGGGTCCTTGCCGCTGGAGCAGACAAAGGCTCATGGAGAATACTCTTAAGACACTGTCTGAGTGACAAAGCATGCCAGATCTCAAGAGTGACCCAAAGAAGAAGAGATACTCATAGAAATAAAGAGATTGTAAAGAAGTGTATTTACATATAAGAGGGAATGATAGAAGCAGACTGAAACATCTGATAGACAGATCTTGCGGTGGGTCTATTAGAAAGAACAAAGGAGAGCTGGAGAGAAAAGGTAGAATAATTACTTATTGTAAAAGCCTGAGTAAGGACAGGAGGGTTGAGGGATGGGCTGACAGAGGGGAACAGAGGAATAGTGATTGGACTGACAGAGAGAGAGAGAGAAAGAGAACAACTGACTGAACTGTAGCAGTTCTGCCTGTGGTGCTCTGAGGGGAAGCTCAGCATGATAGTGTGTGTGTGTGTGTGTGCATGTGTGAATATGTGCATGTGTGCCCAGAGCTGAGACTATATAGGTGTGTTTGCTGCTGACACTAGGCTTTATTTGACAGGAAAGGGTTTTTGAAGTTTTATTGAGCTCTTGCTGCATCTGCCTACGGAAAGCCGAGAGGGTCACAGCACAGATGACGCGGATGTCTCATCTGGAATCATTCCGGATCAGCTTCAGGCAAAAAAGGAGAAAATAAAAACACCTTATTTTTGTTTCTCTCCTACTCAGACAAGCCTTGTGTCACAGAAATAAGTCTAAATCTACCAATGATGGCTACAGCAGTGTGGTGGAGAGCAACATCTTTTATATAAAACCAATATTCAACACTCATGTAACGAAATCCAATTGAGTGTTTCATATTGCTATTATTGTAACTGTCAGATTCACTTCTTACTTACAAAGATGAAGATACAAATGAATTGCCAGCTATCTACTCCTCCCTTCCCTTGAGGCGCTCCCCCTCTCTCTTGCTCTCGCTCTCTCACTCACTATTTCCCTTTCTTTCTCTCTCTTGATAATTACGATGGCACAATTTTACGGTTTTCTTGCTCTCATAAAAAGGCTCTGCAGACTGCCAAGAGTGCAGCAAATATTCTGTCTGTTTCTCTCTCCCCCCTGACTGTTTTGAGAAAACAGTGGGCATTAGAAGAGGTATATCTGCATTTGTTGGTCAGTGTTTCAGAATGATTGCACACATTCATGAACACATATTTCTTTGCACAGCATACATGTAAAAATTCTTTGCACAGCATACATGTAAAAATAATTACAAATAATTAATAATTAAAAATAATTTTCATCCCTGGGGAGAAATAAATGTTTGTTGCTTTTTGAGGGTCAGTGCTCATGTATGTGTTATGTGTATGTGTGATTTCTATGTATGTATGTATGTATGTATGTATGTATGTATGTACGTAAATTTAGGGCCACAGGTATGTGGACACCTGACCATCAAACCCATATATGGGCCTTCCCCAAACTGTTGCCACAAAGTTGTAAGCATACAATTATCTAAAATGTCTTTGTATGCTGTAGCATTAAAATTTACCTTCACTGGAACGAAGGGGCCCAAGCATATTCCAGCATGACAGTGCCCCTGTGTGAAAAGCAGGCTCCACAAAGACATGGTTTGCAGGTTCTTCTGCTTAAGAAAATGAGTGGCCTGCACAGTGCCCTGACCTCAACCCAACTGAATGCCTTTGGGATGAAATGGAAGTCTGACTGTGTGCCAGGCCTCCTCGCCAAACATCAGAACCTAGTAGTCTCTCAGTACTACTATTGTGTCAGAATGGGCACACATCCCCACAGCCACATTACAAAATCTAGTGGAAAGCCTTCCCAAAAGATAGGAGACTGTTATAGCAGCAAAGGTGGGACCATGTCCATATTAATGCCCATGGATTTGGAATGGGATGTTAAAGGACAGATGAGGTGAGATGGTCAGGTAGCCATATAGTGTATGTACTGAATGTATGTATGAGAGGGATCAAGGGTTCGTGAATCTACAGGATTTTCCTGTGCTGCTGTTTCTGTGTATGAAAATGTGCAAGCTTGATAACACTGTGCAGATTTACTATTGTTACTTTCAAATAAGCAATGCTTATCTTGTCCATGTTGCATGTTTGCTTAATGAATATGCAGTTTGCAGCAGCTATTCTTAAAAAAAAAAAAACCAGATAGACCAGCATAGATTCAAATAGATTAATTTATCCCAATGAGTGTGATTAATTTAGCCCCTTCAGTGTTTGAAGATAATTTTGGGAACTGCAATTGTGTGTGTAAATTAACCCAGCTGAAGGGTAGGTATTGCATTTGCATAAGCCAGTTTCCACTATTTGATAATGAAATGAAATGCTTATGTAAATAACTGTGGTTCTATGACCCCAGGATAACTGCAAGGGGCAGTCTGAAACACCTAGATACCTCTCTTTGAGAATTTCTATAACTGCTGATCTCCTGGGATTTTCACACACAACAGTCTCTAGAATTTACTCAGAATGGTGCAATAAAGAAAAAACATCCTGTGAGTGGCAGTTCTGTGGATGAAAACACCTTGTTGATGAGAGAGGTCAATGGAGAATGACCTGGTTCGAGCTGACAGAAAGGCTACAGTAACTCAGATAACCACTCTGTACAATTGTGGTGAGCAGAAAAGCATCTCAGAATGCACAACACGTCGAACCTTGAGGCAGGATGGACTACAACAGCAGAAGACCACATCGGATTCCACTTCTGTCAGCCAAGAACAGAAAGCTGAGGCTGCAGTGGGCACAGACTCACCAAAACTGGACAGTAGAAGACTGGAAAAATGTAGCCTGGTCTGATGAATCTGGATTTTTGCTGAGGCACACAGATGATAGGGTCAGAATTTGGCACCAACAGTATGAATCCTTAGACCCAACCTGTCTTGTGTCAACAGTCCAGGCTGGTGGAGGTGGTGTAATGGTGTGGGGAATGTTTTCTTGGCACACTTTGGGCCCGTTAATACCAATCAATCATCGTTTGAATGCCACAGCCTAGTTGAGTATTGTTGCTGACCATGTGCATCCCTTCATGGCCACAATTTACCATCTTCTAATGGCTACTTCCAGCATGATAATGCACCATGTCAGAAAGCAAAAGTCATCTCAAACTGGTTTCATGAACATGACAATGAGTTCAGTGTTCTTCAGTGGCCTTCCCAGTCACCGGATCTGAATCAGCTTTGGGATGTGGTAGAACGGGAGATTCACATTATGAAAGTGCACCTGAAAAATCTGCAGGAATTGCAGTGAAATGCAGTAAAAAGGGTAAAAAGGAAGCTGTCCTGTGTGGATCGAACCCGCAACCTTGGTGTTATTAGCACCACATGCTAACCAACTGAGTTCACCAGCCACAGCGTAGAGTATTAGTATAGTGTTCCTAAAGTATTTACTATAAGTACGGAAGTCATACAGCCTGGAGCCTTCTTGTCCAGTTGGCGTAGTTCCAAATGACAAGGAGCACTGGTGGTTATCTGGGGTTCAAAGAACCACAGTACCACTGTACCTACATAACTAATGTTCTTTTCCACCCCATCTAACTGCCAGGGGCAGGGTTAAACAGCTGGATAAGATATGATGGAAGCAGATGTGGTGGATTCTAATAGTTTGCTCAGGTACTGTGGAGTGAAACACTACTTCATAGGTTAGTAATAATATTCTCTAAACAATTTTAACAAAATTTTATGGGAGCTGATAAAGTAGTACAGATAAAGCAGAGATAATATGATTAAACATTCTGGTTCTAGTAAGGACTGCTGCATTGTGGAATAACTGGAGCTTGTTTATACACCTGCTGATTCATCCAGACAGGAATGCATTACAGTAGTCCAACCTAGACATAATAAAAGCATGAATTATTATTATTATTTTTTGCATCATATAATGACATTATATTTCTTAGCTTGGCAGTGTTTCTGGAAATGGCAGATCTACTAAAATTATCAACATGTGCTTTAGATGAGAGACTAGGGTCAGTAATCAAACCAAGGTCATTCACTACTGCACAAGATGCAACTGAAAGGCCATAGACAGTTATTGCATAATCAGAAAGCTTATTTCTAGCTGTCTCTGGCCATGTAGAAGTACACTGGTATCTGTCATTTGGTTTGGCTGAAACATATA